CGGCGCCCCGGCAGCTGCCGGGAGGGGTGGGGCTACCCCGCCACACACCTTCCCCCTCAAGTCTCGCGTCATACTCGCCATTACTGCCTCTGGGGTTTCTGCCGCACGGGACAGCCAGTCCGCGTTCCCGTTGTTGACTCCAGGGCGGTACGTGACTTGGAACTGGTACGGCTGCAGGCTGAGATACAACCGCAAAATCCGTGGGTTCGTGTCCTTCATATGTTGCATCCATTGCAACGGGGCGTGGTCCATCACTATGGTAAATTTATCTCCTAAAAGAAAGTAACGTAGTGAATCGATAGCCCACTTTAGGGCCAAGGCCTCCTTTTCGATCATCACATACCCCCTTTCCCGGGGGAAGAGTTTGCGACTTAAATAGAGGATGGGGTGTTCCTCTCCTCCCTCCTCTTGCATCAGCATGGCCCCCAGTCCCACCTCAGAAGCGTCGGTCTGTAGGGTGAAAGGCTTACTAAAATCTGGCTGTGCCAGCACCGGGGCGCGTACCAACCGGTCTTTCAATTTTCGAAACACGTCGTCACAAGCTGGGGTCACAAGCTGGTGTCCACCTTACCCTCTTGGGTTGTCCTTTCCATGTGAGATCTGTGAGGGGTGCGGCTAAAGATGAAAAGTTAGCAATGAACCGTCTATAGTAGCCCGCTAAGCCAAGGAATTGCCGTACCAGTAGCCCGCTAAGCCGAGGAATTGTCGCACCTTCCTTTGTGTGTTCGGGGTAGGGTGTTCCCGTCGTACCTTCCTTTTTGTGGTTGGGGTAGGGTGTTCCCGCACGGCCTGTACCTTATCTACTAAGGGTTTGAGCCTCCTCCTTCCCACTGTGTACCCCAGGTACGACACTTCGGCCCTCCCAAATTGACACTTCTTTGGGTTAGCTGTGAGCCCCGCCCTCCTCAGGGCTTCTAATACGTTGGCTATATGGTCCAAATGTTTTTCCCAGGACTCGCTGAATATTACTATATCGTCGATATACGCGGCCGCGTAATCCTGATGGTCCCTTAAGATTTGGTTCATAAGTCTTTGAAACGTGGCCGCAGCCCCATGCAGCCCGAACGGCATGTTCTTGAACTGATACAGCCCAAAGGGGGTGGCGAACACTGTTTTGCCTGGGCTTCGGGTGAGAGGGGGATCTGCCAATACCTCTTGGTCAAATTGAGGGTTCACAAATAGACGGCCCTTCCAAGACGACCCAGTAACTCGTCTATGAGTGGCATGGGATATGCGTCGAACCGCGAGATCGCGTTGACTTTGCGAAAGTCTATGCAAAACCTCGTTGATCCGTCTGCTTTGGGCACTAAAACAATGGGGCTCCGCCACTCGCTATGGGATTCTTGTATAACCCCCCACTCCAAAGTGGACTGGAGTTCCTCCTTCACTGTACCCCATAGCTTCCGGGGGAGGGGGCGCATGTTATCTCTTACCACTTGCCCTGGTTCCGTTTCTATCTCGTGTTGTATTAAAGGGGTCTGCCCGGGTCGGCTTGTCAATACTGGCCTGAATCGGTTGAGGAGGTGGTATAGTTGTTCTTGTTTCGGGGCCGGGAGCTCTTCTCCAATCCGTATCCCCTCGATCCTCACCTCAGGCTCCCCCCACGGGCCCAATTCAATGTCCGTTGCCCGAGGGTCGATCAGGAGGGCTTCCCGCGTGTGCCACTTCTTTAGCAGGTTCACGTGGTAAATTTGAGTTTCCCGTCGGTTCCCGTTTACCCGCACCTCGTAGTTGACCGGGCCTAGTTTCCTTATTACCCGGAAGGGCCCCTGCCAGTGGGTTAAGAGCTTAGACTCCCCGCTAGGAAGTAATAGTAGGACTTAGGACCTACTCGCCTGGTTCAAATTCCCTCACCTGCGCTTTCCTATTGTAGTATGTCTTCTGCCCTTCTTGCGCCTTTTCTAGGTTTCCTCGGGCCCGGCCCGCCAAGTCATGTAGGGTTTTCCTCAGTTTCTGTACGTATTGGGCGGCTCCCAGGGCAGGGGAGACCGACGTTTCCCACCCTTCTTTTACGAGGTCCAAAACCCCTCGCGGTCGCCGCCCGTATAAATACCCGAGTGACGCCTGCGGTACCTCTCTTACGGCGAACATCAGTGCAGGGAGCAGCTTATCCCATTCACGGGGGTCGTCTTGTGCGAATTTTCGGAGCATCCCTTTCAGCGTGCGGTTGAAGCGCTCCACTAGTCCGTCTGTTTGGGGGTGATACACCGACGTCCAGAGCTTCCTGATTTGCAAGACCTTACACAGTTCGCGTCCTGTGCGAACTTCCGGAGCATCCCCTTCAGTGTGAGGTTGAAGCGCTCCACTAGTCCGTCTGTTTGGGGGTGATACACTGACGTCCGGAGCTTCCTGATCTGCAACACCCTACGCAGTTCTGTCATAACCTTAGATGTTAAGTTCGTCCCTTGGTCCGTTAGCAATTCCCTGGGCAACCTGACCCACGAGAACAGTTTTACCAATGCCTCGGTTTTTCAGGGGCACCGCCTCTGGGCAACGGGTGGCATAGTCCACGATGACCAGAATGTAACTATGCCCGCGCCCCGACTTCTCGAGGGGTCCCACCAGGTCCAACGCTACCCGTTCAAAGGGGGTCCCAACCACGGGAAGGGCGACCGGGGGGCTGGCGGCACCCGATTCCCGGATGTCTTTTGGCACTGCGAGCAGGAACTGCAGAAATTTTTAACTTCCTGGTACACCCCGGACCAGTAGAATCTCTGTAGCACCTTCTGTTGGGTTTTTTCCGTGCCCAAGTGTCCGGCCCACGGGTGCTCATGGGCCAATTCCAGGACCTTCCACCGGTACGGCCGGGGAACCAGCAGCTGCCATCTTTCCTCCCTGGGAAGTTCCCCCTGGGATACTCGGTACAAGAGATCGTCCCTTACCTCGAATAGGGGCCCGTCGGGTCGGTCGGGCGGGTTTCCTCCCGGCTGTTCGCTGGTTGTGCGCACCTGATCCCAGGCTGCCCGCAGGGTGGGGTCCTCCCGTTGCTGCGTGAGGAAGTCCCCTTCTTATACCTCGAGGCGACGGCCGGCATTCCCCCTGATGGGAAAGTGGTGGGCGGGGCTCCCCCTCCATCCTCCTCTCCTTGGGCTACCAGGGTCCCTTGCCCGGACTCTGGCTCCTGTCTGGGGTTGCCTGCCCTGCCCGGGGTTGCCTGCTCTGCCCCACTGCCCTAAGAGTCTTTTTAAGCCGGGCCAATCCCGCCCCAACAGGAGTGGGTACGCTAGTTTAGGGCCGACGGCGACCACACATTCGCTCTCTAGCTCCCCGTCCCCTATCCGTACCCGGGTCGTGGGGTAGTAATGAATGTCCCAATGGACACACCGGAGGGCTATGGGAGCGCCCCTGGCCTGCACCGGGAATATCACATCCTTTCGGACAATGGTCTGTCCGCACCCCGAGTCTAATATGGCTTCCACCGGGTTCCCATTAACCCACAGTTCTTTTATTACCTGCGCCAGACTTGCTGCCCTTCTGTCGGTGCCGCCGGCGCGCCTCTGTCCGAAGGTATAGTCCATCAGGGTGCAGTCCCTTTTGTAGTGGCCCTCCTGGCCGCACTGATAGCAAATTACCTTCGGGGTTCCTTCTGGCGGGGGGGCACCCGACCCGGTCTCGGTCGCCCGGTCCACCCTGGCTTCGCCGCCTGGCCAGCTCCACCGGGGTGCCAACCTCCTCTCAGGGAGGGGCCCTAAGGGGTTTCTCCGCACCTCCCCGCCGTGTTGAGCTCCTACGGGCTTCGGCGCCCTCGTTTCGCCCTTCCTGGGATCCCTCGGGGTTCCTATAGTTACTTTCCCTTCTGTCCCCTCGGCGGCCAAGTAATGTTCAATGAGGGTTACAGCTTCATCCAGGGTCTCCGGTAGGTGCCGCCGTACCCATTGCTGCCCTTCTGCGGGGAGGATACGGACATACTGTTCCAATATGACCAGGTCGGCCACCTGGACCCCTGTCTTGGTCTCCGGTTCGAGCCATCTCATCCCTGCTTTCCTCACCTGCTGGGCCACGGCTCGCGGTTGCTCATGAAGACGTACTTGGCTTCGCGGAACCGCCGGCGGTGGGTCTCCGGGGTGACCCCCAGCTGATCGAGAAATGCCTCTTTAACCTTGAAGTAGCACAATGCGTTGCGGGCCGACATCCCCCGATACGCCAGCTGGGCTGGCCCCGACGAATAGGGAGCGAGGAGGGTTGCCCAATGTTCCTGGGGCCATTTCGCTGCGGTGGCCACCCTCTCAAAGGTCACCAGGAAAGCCTCCGGGTCATCCTCCGGCCCCATTTTCATCAGCCGTATCGGTAATTGGGTGCCGATCCCTTCCCCTCCTCTGGGGCCCCCAGCCATCCCGGGTATCTTCGCCGGGGCCCCTCGCGCCATCTGCTCCTGCCGCTCTTGGAATTGGTTGAGGAGCTGTTGCAACGCCTGCATCTGCTGTTGCTGCTGCACCTTCTGGGTTTCCGTCCACCACTCCAGGATCTTATTTGCCTCCATCGTCTCCTGACAATCAACATCCCGTTAGCGCCTTGCCCCTGGTCTAGACCCCCGTCCCGGGGTCTACAGTGCCCACGTTCTCCACCACGTGTGGGGGATTGCGCCCCCGGGGAGGGCTTAAGTCCGCCCTCCCTTAGTCCTTTTAGCCGTTGTCGGCCGTGCACGCCCGGCTCTGCTCTGCTCAGCTGGTTGGGGGAAGGGGGTCCGGGCCCGCCCTCGCTCCGGACCCCGACCCAGGGCCCTAAGGTCAGGAAAAGAATTCCCACCTAGCGGGGGGGAAGGGTCGAGAACCCTAAACTCCCCCGCTCTCGGGGTCCACGTCCCCGCCCTGGGCCACTTCTTCCCCCGGCCTAAATCACCTCGCCACCGAGGCCTTCCGTTCGGGCCCCAGTACCTGAGCCCTCCCGCTCGCTGCCAGGGTGGGTCTGCCTCACTGGTGTCCCCCCAGCTCGCTGGTCCGGTGTGACCTTTTAAACTGCCCGCGGGTCGCAGGCAGATGACGTCACTCCCCCTGTCGGCCTCCGGCCCCCCCTTCGGGCCAGCCCGCCGGTGACGTCAACCTCGTGGCCTCCTCCCCCTGCCCCTTGTCCGCGCCGTCCGCCGGCCCCGGCTCATAACCCAGCTGGTGCGCCTCCGCCCCCGCTCGGGGGTGCGGGCGGCCATACATGCCGCGCCGGGGGGGGGTGGCGTGCCC